TTTTGTAGCGCCTTATTTTCTCTACATGACCATGCATAAAAACTTTGAAATGGCTTGGTAACTGTACCTTTTGTGAGCGTTTCAAGAGTTCATGTTTGTTATTCATTTTCGCTCGAACATGACCTCAGTTTGACCTCAATAACTTCTGACTTAAGGTGACCTAAGACTTGACATTTTGTGTGAAGGTGTCAAATTGATGCCCGGGAAGGTATTGAACATTTGGTGGCGCTGCGCACGGCTGTTTTCTTGCTATTCAGGAAAAACCACAAGGGGTGGGGAACAAGCCTAACGGGGTTTGAAAATTTCAAAGATTTTTTTTTAAGAAAATTTCGTCATCTTTTTTTTAATTGCCTTTAGCGGTCGTTACGACCAATTCTGTGGTGTTATTAGTTTTTCAAAATAAATTTCTGGCAATTGCGAATCGACATGCAAAAAACTAGAAAGGTGTTCTTTCTATAACCCTCGCCCGCACATGGGGGGGGGGGGGGAGAAAGGTTGCCACCCCAGGTAGTTTTTCTGCTCTGCACTCAAAATTTTTAGAGTTAAAAGCCTGATTTTTCGTATAGCTGCTTCTCTATCCTTTCTTGATGTCCACTGGAAATTTCAAGTTTCTGTGGTTTTTTGTTTCGAAGATATGACCTTGTATTTCAGGTCATGCCATGACCCAAATTACCAATTTTCAACATCTTGCGTTGGCTATCGGCCATGTGAGCTTTTGACACCTTGATTTCGTCCTTTTTTGCCAGTCTTACTTCCCCCCACCTATCATGGAACATGTCGTTCGACGATGTACAGATGTCAAGGTCAGGGTCAAGGTCAACCGAGTTCATCTAAAATAATTGCGTTTTAGGCAAGCTGAATTAACTTTTCGTGAAGTTTTTTGGCTGCATTTTTGGTACAAGCTTCTCAGATCATGATTTCATGTAATATGGACACATAAACAATCGGTGCACACATCAGCATACGCACACACACACACACACACGCACACGCACCCCCACACGCACACGCACAAGCACAAGCACCTAAACTGATACATACACATTGCACAAGCACACCGACACATGCATATACGCACACAGTCACAAACACAACCCAGTACAAACAGAAATGCCCACACATACATAAATGCAATCATTCCGTTTCTTTAACAGTGTAGGTTATGTTCTCTGTTTGAAAACTTGTTTGTTTGGTTGCTCCTTGCTCACTTAGGTTACTGTTTGTTGTGTTTGAACGGAAGACTGTTGAACGTTACTGTGTTTGAACGCCGGCCTGTGGCGGAGCCCTAAGCTTGTCGAGCATTGGGCCCCCGCCCCTATGACCCATCCGGGCAACCTGGGTACCGGTCCCACTTGAAAGGGACCGGTGGGCGCCCGGGCGGGCGGAGCGCCGGCCTGTCGGGTCGGGTCGGCGCTCCACTCGCCCGGGCGGTGGTTAGGGGGCACCCCCGGGAAAGATGTTTTTCCGGGGGTGCGGGCGGGGGCTCGCGGCCCGTTAAAAAAATTGCGTCGCCTAGGCAGCTTTGAAAGGACACACACGGCACTTATGTTGTGCTTGCGCTCCTGATGCGTATAAAGTAAAAGAACCGTGCCAGCTCCATGCCTAATGTGCGCTTACTTATTATGTGTGTATTACTTCCTAGATGTTGAAATAAATGAAGGAGAGAGAAAAAAAGAAGCGTTTGTTCGAAGCATTTGCGAATAGTAGGTTTATGGGTTGATGGTCCTATAACTGTTGCCAAAAATTTACTATTTATATATTCCGTGACCGTGTCTTATAGAAAATTCATACACTGTGAAGCATCAGCGAAATTCATAGACCATTACAGATGGCAGGAGTGTCGTTTGTACAGAGGTCGCTGATGGGCAGGGTCACCGCCGCTCCTGGTAGGCGGATGACCTAATGTCATGACGCATGAATTAGCCGCTATCCAGGATGAAAAAGGTTAACATTACGAGTCAATGGCACTGTGCCACAAATATTAGAGCGACAAGAAACTCTACTTGAAGTAAAAGTTTTGGCAGGTTTTGAAACGGCTAGTTCATGAACATGATTGAAATTTGTCCACGCATTCAGAAGTGATCGCGAAAAATTAGGGCCTCAAAGCCAGTGTTCGGCGCCAATAGTACCAACCTCTACTTATTTACCTTACTTTTCGATAAAAAATCGTCATTTGGGAACTGTGACGAAAAATAAGTGGCCTAAATCCGATGAGTAAACAGGATTTGAGGTACCTTATGTTTCGCCCCTTTAGCCTCTGCCCCCTCCTTTCCGCTCCAGTGAAAATCCTTAGAAGAGGCCTTGTGGAGTGAATTGCGGATCAAGCTTGACCCATGCTCCACTGCCTACATCTTAAAGGGACACTCCCACCTTAACATTAGTTTTAAGTTGAGATAGCCAAATTGGTGGCCATGGCCTGCAAATACCGGTTTGGGCACTCACAACATCGAAAAATGCTTTAATTCGAAGATATGGAATTTCAAACTTGCAGTTTTCGGATTCTAAGGGGCTAATGCATTGGAATGCCCCCTTAGAATTTGTGACGTCAGCGGAGATCTAACGATTTTTAAATCTTAGACTAAAACCATCGTTAACACGTGGTGGTATACGCTGCTTTGCGCGCAACGTCTGCCGCACTTTAAGGCTGCCAAATTATTGCTTCCAAATAAAGTCGCTAGTAACAGGGGAGATCCCAAAAAGTAAACAAAAGTAAAAGCCTAATATCTTGAAAACCAGTGAATATTTTTCGGTGAAATTTGGTAGATATTCGTTTTCGCTCTTTCTGAACCAAGGGACATCACTTTCATGCCAATTCATTAACTTTTTTGAAGGTGGGAGGGTCCCTTTAACTCGGGGCCAGAACTGGCCAGGGGTCGTAACTAAGAAACTACAGAAGATACAGACGTGTTTTTGGACTCAAACGAAACGTTGGAGACTAACGATCATTTAAAGTGCGCCGAAGTTAAGCTTGTGAGAGTTGTTTGACTTTGTTGTACATTTTCAACGTTTTCAAAAGTAAAGAGACTACAAGTTTCCGTCGCTGAAGATGCTCTGATCATTTTTGAACACGATAGTGGCCAAATGAAAACGTTTAAAAATAGTTAGTTGATGTTTCGCGTCCTGGCCAGTTTTTGGCCCGAGTTAAAACACGGTGCACTGGGGCTCCTGGATTTCCACGCCCTGCTGGTGGGGGAGCATTTGATTTCCCCTCTAATTCGGTTCCTGGCCACATAGCGCTACGCTACGAAGGCGACATTCGAAAGAGCGTCAAAAATAATGACGAAATCATTTCTATCACTTCTTTGGTCAGGTCAAATGCCAGGTCACGAGAGGTCATTGAATGCCAAATGTCGCCGGTTTTCAGGTGGAATTTCGACAATGTCTAACAAACCGGCGCATTACCCGGAAACCAATACAATTACAGCACCCCGGAAAAGCGCATTTCATAGCCCTATTAGCGCTGTTTCTGATAATTTCTCTCAGCTTTGACCTGGTCAATGGTTTTGCCTGCAGGGGGTAACGATTTTTTGGAATAGTATTTTCAGCAATAACGTCTGACTCAAACGTTGCACGAGCTTATTTTTACTCAGGCATCGTCTTCCTCTCGTCAAGACGCATCGAATGAAATAAAATTTGATCTTGAAATATCAACTTGAAAATTGGAACTCAGGTCAAGGTCATGACCTGACCGGAAAAAGATCATATGGCATATCAGTCGATCCGTATCGTCGAATTGAACATATCTTAGATGTTTTCACCGCTCTAGCATACATCTATGAAAAGTTATTAGCGAAAAACTGTTGGCTACCATTCGTGACCTGAGGGACAAGAAAGGGGTCATTGATGCCATTTTCCAGTTCATTGTGTCATTTTTACCCGAGTGTTAAGAATGACGTTCGTCCAAAAGAGGCGCTTTTCAATTTTCTCTCATTGACTTATAATGGAGAGGTCGCAAAAGTGACCCGACTGTAGGTCACCGATATCAAAATTCCGAGACATACATTTTGTACATAATGTTGTTCTTATCAATCGCTGAAAAGTTCAAAGTGCTCGGGCACTCGGTGTGGCTATGGCAGACATTGAAACTTTTTTATAAGGTGAGATGACTTTGTATGACTTAGCGACCTGACCTTGAGTGACCTTGGTCTGAAATTTTCATAGCATGTGCAATAATTGTGCATACAAGATGGATGCTGAGCTGTGCCAGAGGCGGCGGTGGATGTTCGCGAAAAACCACGCGGGGGGGGGGGGGTTCAAACACCCCCGCGCAGGGCGCGGGTTCATTTAGCAGCTCAGTAATTAGGTACATACGCACTGCGCACTGCGTCCGGGTTCACCGATCCATCGTCCAGGGTCGAGAAGAAACCGAGTCTAACCGCCGGCTCGGGTCTGTGTTTCAGCTCAGAATGGTCTCACCATGTGCTCGGGTCTGTGTTTCAGTTCAGAATGGTCTCACCATGTGCTCGGGTCTGTGTTTCAGTTCAGAATGGTCTGACCATGTGCTCGGGTCTGTGTTTCAGTTAAGAATGGTCTCACCATGTGCTCGAGTCTGTGTTTCAGTTCAGAATGGTCTGAACATGTGCTCGGGTCTGTGTTTCAGCTCAGAATGGTCTCACCATGTGCTCGGGTCTGTGTTTCAGTTCAGAATGGTCTCACCATGTGCTCGGGTCTGTGTTTCAGTTCAGAATGGTCTGACCATGTGCTCGGGTCTGTGTTTCAGTTAAGAATGGTCTCACCATGTGCTCGAGTCTGTGTTTCAGTTCAGAATGGTCTGAACATGTGCTCGAGTCTGTGTTTCAGTTCAGAATGGTCTGACCATGTGCTCGGGTCTGTGTTTCAGTTCAGAATGGTCTGACCATGTGCTCGAGTCTGTGTTTCAGTTCAGAATGGTCTGACCATGTGCTCGGGTCTGTGTTTCAGTTCAGAATGGTCTGACCATGTGCTCGGGTCTGTGTTTCAGTTCAGAATGGTCTGACCATGTGCTCGGGTCTGTGTTTCAGTTCATAGTCTACCGAACCTCAGTGTACTCAGCCTGTCAGGCTGCTCTAAAATCACCGATGAGGGCATCGAAGTCATAGCGGAAAACCTGAAAGGTAAGTTTGAAATAGCGTAAATGCGTATACTGAATACTGTTTGGAGTAACGGGCAATCGAAAAAATACTTCCCGATGTGACGTCACTGTAGCCCTCGGGTGAATGAAGACCGATCAATGCTTTATTGCCCGAGGCGTCGCTGATGGCAATAATGCTTACTCTTCACCTGAGGGCTACAGAGACGTCACAGAGGGCAATGGTGTTTGCTTATTGCCCGCTACCCCATACAGTATTCATTTTATTACACGGCCCACCCCGGCTCGTGGTTACCTATTCGCGCTAACTTTATTTATCATCTTTTAACTATACGACAAAACGTGTCAGCATAATAATACACAATTTGTTTGAATCTCATTGGATGAAGGTATTGCATGACATAACACATTCCATGTTCCACAGCTAGAGCTACTCGTGGGTGATGTTGAAGCTGAAGTTGTAGGCGTAGAAGGTCTGATAGCCGGCTTTTCTCTGTCACCTCGGCTCGTCGGCTTCTTGTGCTCAACTGATCCTCGCCCAGCCTTCTTTGACGGACGGGATGGGGAGGTGCATAGTAACCTTGAAAGCCTCAGTACTCGAAGGAAAACACCTCCCTCACTGATGTCTCTTCCTAGTTCATTGGTGATAAACTGATTCCGTACTTCAGTGAGTGGAGACTTTTCGTTTTGTAGCCAACCCTATTTTTGCGCTTGACAGTAAGGAAAAACTCCTTTACAGTGTCGTCGAGAACAAAATTACTGTACTGCAGATATTCCAGTTTTCGGTCTTTAATTGTTAAAAATTCCTGGAATATGTCTCCAGACGATTTTATCACCTGTTTCGTACCATCAGTTCTGCGTGAAAAGAGGAGCTCATCTAATTCACGTGGTTCAAATAAATGAATACGGAGCAACTCTGTCCTAGCTGCAGATATACGTATGAACCTTCAGCAATGAAGTCCACCAACCGAATTAAGTGAAACCCATAACGTGTTTTTTTTTTAATTCTACCTAAGCCTTTTTTAAAGCGCCCGCAGAATACTGTTGCCCGTTGTCATGGTATCATTAACAAAAATAAGTCATCCTGCAGAGGGAAATTAATTGTGAAAATTGCGGTAACAGTCAACATTATTACACAATACACACCCAGTTACCATACGAGCCATGTAATTATAAATATTATTACCAGTATAACGCCTTTTGGGGCGACTAACGGAGCAAGCGAGAGGGTGGGCCTTGCACGTGCGAAATTGCTAGGGGGTACCTCCAACTGACTTGTGCACGGCACCCTACTAACCGGTCTCTAGCGATGTGCCAAATTTGAGCACAATCGGCCAAGCCGCTCTCGAGATCTGGAAGCGGCACCCTGCACGTGCGTACCTGCAAAATGGGTCCCAACTGACTTTTGCATGGCACGCAAGTCCCAACTAACCGGCCTCTAACCGCGCACCAAATTTGAGCGCAATCGGTCCACCCGTTCTCGAGATCTGAAATCGACCCCTGCACGTGCAGCAGCACCCCAATTGTGGCACATGCAAATGCATTGCCTAGTGGGTGCCTACCTACAGTACATGCCAAACTTGTACAGTATATCTAAAAAGTATGTCCCCTGGTTTGGGTCTCCCACAGGAGGCGAATCGGTAACTTGGCTGAATCCCAGTTGCGGCACCCTGCCGCCAGGGTCGCTGGCGCGCGAGCGGCCTTGACCGCTCGCATGTCATTGGCAGTTCGGTCCCTCCCCATCTATACCGAGGTGGGGAGGGGAGAAGAGGGGAAGAGAGGGGAGGGAGCGGCATCCGCTCGGCACTGGGCGATACCTGGCTGACCCCGCGCTCCCTCGCTGACCTCCGTCCTGCCCTCAGGCGAAGACCGACTTCCTCGGCCCGTAGCGGCCGAGCGGAAAACCGAGCTCGCGGGGCGCGACTCCATTGGCCCAATCTTATAAATAGAATGATGTCGTATTCACGGCATTAGATAATATTAATAGTGATACCAGCAGTGGATGTGGTAAAATACAGTCCAAAACAAACGAAAGCACACGATTGGTGCATAATGCGCCCTCCTATTCAAATAAGCCCGCCCACTTTAATAGATGGTGTAGTTTCTTAGCCCGCGCCCCGTAGGGGGCCGAAACGGCCCCCCTGTCCTTTTCCGTCGATATCTCCTAAACGGCTGCAGATATCGCCACCAAACTTTCAGGACCCCTCCGGGCATCAATTTAACACATTGTGACCAAACAATTTTCCAGAGGCTATGATAGGTTGGCCACAAATGACGTCAGAATGACGTCATGTTCTGCCATTTTCGACCGAAAAAAGACCTTCGCGAGAAGAGCTGTCAGGCCTACAGCTTTGAAGATACAGAAAAATAATCACATAAAAGGTGGAATTGACAGGGCTACACAACTGCTATCTCGGATTTTTGAAATTTTTGAGTTTCCAAAAAATCAAAAATGCAATTTTGGATATATTAGTCAAACAATCCAAAACGTTTTTTAGTTTCAACAAAACCAGAATATATGTGATAGTACCTACCGTCTTCTATCTACATACCAAATTTTAGATCGATATCTCCTTTTTTGGCGAAGTTATAGCGAAAAAACTGTTCAAAATTGATGACGTCAAATTTTCAAACTCAATTATTGGCAATTCTAGACTACGTAGGGCAAAACAAAGGCCACCATTGGACTCCCCGTGACGAGCTGCATCGAATGGATACCCATTTTATGCAAAAATATCAACTTTGAAATTTGACCTAATTTGATCTGATCTTGACCTGACCTTGACCTGACCTTCACCGGAACATAATCTAAACTGACCCCAAAGGCTGCCTGACCCACATAATCGCATTTGTCATGTAAAATGGGCCATAAAACATGTATCACACGACACTTTCATGTTGTGACCCTTATGCCCTGACCTCTGTGACCTGACCTGGTATCAGTGACCTCAGATAGCGAAGTATGTGTTTGAAGAACAATGTGCCATCGATGGTTTTCAATAACTTACCAATTTACTCGAATTCGCAACACATTTCTTGAAATGCCTGTGAACGGTGAAAATCTGACCTTTGACCTAACCTGTGACGTCATCGGTTTGACCTAGGTCAATGAAATCTGGTCACAAGGTAGTTCCCCGGTGGGGCTATCGAACGCCGTTTGAATTTTGAAAATCGGCCGGTAAATTTCCGAGATCTTAGGGGGGGGGCGAAACGCCCCCCCCCCCTACGGGTGGTAGGGTCTGCCGGTAGCCCTACGGGGCGCGGGTTAGGGCGTAAAAGATGCAAAACGCTACCGAACTTTTTTAGCTCGGCCATTGAGACCGTCAATACACAATTGACTGAAATGCATGAAAACCATTTTGCATTTAATAGCCGTTTTCTGCACCCAAACTTTAGCCAGTGACGCCCTGTCCATTCTAAAGCGTTTATAAGATTGGTCCCAGCGCCCGATTTTATATGAGGAAGTCGTTTAAAAAGCATCTTATCTCTAACCAATTTATTTATTATGGCCACTTTTACAGGACGTCTATAGAGCTTTGACTTTTACATTTCTTCCTCGTTCAGGAGCAACGTTTTAACCGTCACCGGACCTTCAGGTTTTCTGAATACCGAGGGGGCGTTGGGGGGTTGGAAGTGAGGGAACAACTCCCTTCGCCGATTCGCCCCTAATTGCTAGAGCCTCACGAAAGAAACGATCGTGTGCGTCGTTACGAAATTCAGCGATTGGTCTCCGATTTTAAGGACCAGGGTCAGACGATGACTTTTGAGGTCAGGTCAAGTGGCGCAAGGCACAGGTTCGGTTTTTGGTAAATAACTTCGCTAAAAATGATCACAGATTCGCAGATTCACAGATTCGATATATAAGAGTACGCAGAATTATACATTAAATCGAATATACAGAAATATAAAATTATTAATCTCTATTGCTCAATGACGTTTGTTTTGTAGGTATATCATCAATGGAGCACTGTGATGCAGATGCGTACCCGAAATTCTTCCAAATACGAGTTATTCTCCCTTTTGATTGTGCATTTTTTTTTTTTTTGAAATACACGACATGATTATTTCCTGATTTATAGACTTGAAAGATTTATTTTATGTTTTTCTTTTTGGATACTAGAATTAACTTAAATGCCTTCTGAGTTTGAAGTTAAGCATTTGGACAGTACAAGCTGCATAGGTGTGTGTTCATATGCTTGCGTACTCCACCCGCGTGGCGTGCGTACTCTTACACACCCCATATGGTAAGAGTACGCAACTGCAGCGGTTCAGAGAATGTCAGTTTTAGACCACTTCCATTTACGCTGAAGGATCGTTGCCCCATGAGATGATGGCTAATTCAATGAACTTTAATACCTATTCCCTATTTGCGATTTCTTTCTTTCAAATATTAAACAAATGAGAGCAAGAAATCCACTAAGTGCGTACTCTTATACGACTTCACCCTAGTAGTTATTTGACGCAGCTGGGGTCTAGTTATTTGACGTGGCTGGGGTCTGCCCGTACGGCCGGCAGGTCTGCGCAGCCTGGACCTGAGCTGGTGCACACGGGTCACCGATGCCGCTCTCGAGTACATCGCCTGCGACCTGGCCCACTTGGAGGAGCTGGTGCTCGACAGGTGAGCCGCCACCGAAACCTACATCCCATCATCACAGTCATCGTCATCATCATCTAGGAAACCTGCTCCGCCATTGCCATCGTCTTCGGTCGGTTGGGTCGATAGCGTCAGCTCGGCGACGGCGACCGGTGCAGCGGTCCGGGTGCGGCCGCGGCGCGCCGCGCCACTGCCCATCGACCAGGCCGCGAGCCGAGGGCGGGGGGGGGGAGCGGGCCGCCGGCCGGCCGAGCCATATCGACCGGCAAGGTCGTCGGCCGCGACGGTACGAAGACAGCAGGACACGGGAGACAACTCCGGTCCCTGAGGGCACTGTGTGCTCGGACTACTGTCCATCTGACACGGTGCTGTCCATCAGACAGCACCGTGTACGGTCACCAGCACTGGCTACTAATCACCTCGTTTTCGGTCACCTGTTTGAAGACCGATCCAATCTCAGTGACACGAGATACATCAAATGGTCCGTTGGGGCGTCTGATTCTCGAATACCTACCTTGTTTCAGTATGTTCAAAGCATTTTTGGGTGGGGGTAAAAAAAAAACTCTTTTTCACTCATAACTTTGCCCCAAGAAGTCGCAGAACCTACGATGGACGTCAAACCCCTTGAGACCCCACTTTTTTGCGATAATTTTTAAATGCGTTAGCTCTCGTTGACGATATTCTGGCAATGTGTGTTTCAGAACCTGCCGAAACTTTAATTACTTAGGTATTTTGACGCCAAACGATTATGAAAGGTACTTCTCATTCACTCGTAATGTTAAATTTCACGGAACGAACCTGCTGTTTGGGTAGAGGCTACGCGCTCATGGGGCGGAGCCACGTAATGACGTCAGCGCTAAGCTCCGCCCTACCCCTCCGGCGCTCCTTGCCCGGCGTCCGGTCACTCGCGTCTCGCGCTCCATTCAGGCTTGATGGTGGGCGGTAGCTGGTAGCGGTAGCGGGCGCTAGTAGATGACATTAAGAGCAGATGGCGCTGGTGGCGGGGCTCGAGTGTGGCCGAACGCAATCCTCTGCCCGGGCCTGAATTGACGTTAGCATTACGAGTGAATGAGAAGTACGTACCTTTCATAATCGTTTGGCGTCAAAATACCTCAGTAACAAAAGTTTCGGCAGGTTCTGAAACACACATTGCCAGAATATCGTCAACCAGAGTTCACGCATTTAAAAATTATCGCAAAAAAGTGGGGTCTCAAGGGGCTTGACGTCCATAGTAGCGTTGCCTCTGATCCATAGACCACTAGTGCCACCTCTTGACAGCCGAACAAACCACCGAGGTAAATAATGTCACGTGACTGTTACACACGTTACGAAGACTACGCCGCCGTATTGGGGGAAGCGGGGCGGAGGCGTGGCGAGGGACGCGATCGGTCGGCTGGGGTCAGGTCGCCGAGGTCAGAGGTCATCCGCCGGAGGGTGTTTGGGCGGTTGGGCCGTGTGGGCTGAGGGTTGCGGAGTGGGGAGCGCTGGACCTGTCTGGTAGCGAGACCTACAACGCTGCGGCAGTTGAGAATATTGGGAGGGGATTGAGTGAGGGAGAGAGAGATAGAGAGAAAGAGAGATGGAGGGAGAGGAGAAAGAGGGGGCTCAAAAAGAAAGACTGTGGTAAAGGGTTAAGGACGGGAAGAGAGGAAAAGAAAACAAGAGAGAGAGAGAGAGAGAGAGAGAGAGAGAGAGAGAGAGAGAGAGAGAGAGAGAGGGAAAGAGAGAGAGAGAGAGAGAGAGAGAGGAAGAGGGGAGAGAGAGGGAGAGAAATAGGTAGAGGGGTGAGGGTAAACAGGTAAAGAAGAATTAGAATGGGCATCTCTCGGGACAGCTATCTGTCTGGCCAAAGTAACACCAAACGTTCCCAAGCATCGTTTTTCGGTCAAATATCGAACAAGTATAACGCCTTTTGGGGCGACTAACGGAGCGAGCGAGAGGGTGGGCCTTGCACCTGCGAAATTTCGAGGGGGTACCTCCAACTGACTTGTGCACGGCACCTTACTAACCGGTCTCTAGCGATGTTGCCAAATTTGAGCATAATCGGCCCAGCCGTTCTCGAGATCTGGAAGCGGCACTCTGCACGTGCGCACGTGCAGGATGGGTCCCAACTGACTTGTGCACGGCACCCTACTAACTGGTCCCTAACCATGTACCAAATTTGAGCGCCATCGGTCCAGCCGTTCTCGAGATCTGGAAACGACCCCTGCACGTGCGCACGTGCAGCAGCACCCCAACTCTGGCACATGGATATGCAGTGCCTAGTGGGTGCCTACCTACATGCCAACTTTCAGCGCAATCGGCCAAGTAGTTACCGAGATATTGCAACCAGACATGTGCATGGATCCGAGAGCTGGATCTATGATCTCAGTGGATCTCTCGACAAAATAGAGGGGTTGGATCTATGATCCGAGTGGATCTCTCGACCAAATTCAGGGGTTGGATCTATGATCCGAATGGATCTCTCGACAAAATTTAGGGGTCGGATCTATGATCTCTGTGGATCCAGCGGGCAAAAATTTGTGGAGGACCTATGATCTGTATGGATCTCACGACAACATGTAGCCAATGAAACCCTTATCCTACATAATTGTACACCTTACAGTGCAATACAATTGAGAATTGTCACTTGTGGACATGGTTAAGACCAGTTGTAATCATTAGGTATCATCATTAAATTTGAATTTAAATCAAAAACATTTGTACTACATTTAAAATAAACCAAGAACATGCACATTGCTACTTTTTGTGACCAATTGTAACTTTTTCATGACAGCACTGATGACAATCTCATCAACAAGCTACAGCCACTTTAATTCAATGAACAAACAGTACAGACAGATGCAGTGGCAGCGGGGCACTGCAGATTTTCATTTTGGTCCCATTCTTTCCATGCAACGCCAGTAGGGCTAATGTTAAAATGCCAAAGTCTATGGGGAGCACTGTACCCTGGTGCCACCCCCCTGTTCCGCCGCCTATTGCTATGGACAGATGTTAGGAAATCAAACCTGGAAGCCAAATAGGTCAGTTTTGTTAAAAATAATCCAGCAATCCACTTCTCCCAGGTATGAAACCCCAACCCAGAATGTTCGTATGAGCTATTAGTATGTGGAACACAATTTCGATTTAGTAAGAATAGTAACCAACCTCTAATACTTTCCTAATAAAATTACAAGTTCAAAAATGGCATCAACTTCTTCAGATTACCTACTTTTGGCATCGTGCCACGTATGGTGCCATGCTGTGCTTTCGTTATGAGAGAGCCTCCCAAAAAAAGACAAACGAAATTCACAGGTCACGTTTTGGTAATATTGTTTTGTTACGTCATTATCGTTTGACCAATGAAAAATCTTAATTTGACTAAAACCGTAATGATTCCAAAAGATTCCCCGTAATAGGCCCTTCCAACTAATGACGTAAGATATTGTGATTTTTTTGGAAAGTGAATAAAATAAAGATACAAGGCGCACACCCGGCTCAGGGTCATGTAATACCGTTTCAGCTTACGTTTACGTCATTAAATTCAACGCTACAAAGATGATATTCACAAACAATCGTATCGTAAAATTATGTGAGGCAGAGAAAAATGAACATTCTTTTGAAAAAACTCCAGACTTTTGAATTTCCAGTTTGATTTTTTATTTATTTATTTACATTATACTCGAAGGTAGAACGCTTAGCTCATTTGTTATTTGAAATGACGTCACGAATTCTATTTAGATACTGAATAATCATTTTACGGTAAATATCCATGGCCATTACAATTGACATTTCGCTTCCCATCACTTCCGCAGGCTGTTGAATATTTTTATACTTTTGTTTATATCTGTTTATTTTATCAAATATTTCTTTCAATAGATTAAAATACCTTTACCTAACCAAGTCACATGTGTCAGTATCAACTTTTATTGTTTATCAATCAATTGTGTTAGCTGGAAACTGGAAAGCCTCATGGGTTGTCTAATGCAAGATTGTCTTATCAATATCGTTATGTAGATTCTAACATGAATTGTGATGTGGTAGGTACCTAGTACCTAATGTATTGTTCATTAGCAATTACTTTGACTTACCTCTATGTTAATTGTTAATGCAAACTTTTCTGTTGGTATGTGAACAATCTTCATGTCACTCAATTCTCTCAAGTTGTGACCGTCATGAGCCTCCTTTATTTTGTATTCTGTATAATGTAACTGGATGCCTTTACTAATATGGCCTTTGTATAAGATTGTTTGTTTCTAACCATACTTTGGTATTCATAACTTCTTATGAAAGAAAGTTGTTAACATTTTGAGCACCTATGAGCTATGATCCCAATGGATCTCACGACAAAATTGGGGAGCCAGATCTATGATCCGAGTGGATCTAGCGACAAAATTGAAGGTTCAGATCTATGATCCCAGTAGATCTCTCGACAAAATTGAGGGGTTGGATCTATGATCTGAATTAATCTCGGATCGGGATCCATGGAATCGGATCTCAGATCCATTTTTCCGGATCCAAGCACATGTCTGATTGCAACAATTACAAAACTGACACCTCTTCTTTTTGCACGTGGCACGTGCATAAGGGGTCACTCACATGCATCGGGAATAGTCCAATACTTGGTAGAAGGAATGAAACTACCCTACAAAAATTACCGCGTGTAAATCGGTCAAGTGGTTGCTGAGGTATAAGCCTCGCAAAAGCGTCCGCACGGCCGGCCGCTCATACTCAGAAATTTCCGTTAATCTAAGGAAAGACTACGCTCGCTTCGCTCGCTCCGTGATTAAGAACTTACACCAGTAACCCTATCTCATATCACAGAAGTTATTTAATGTCTAGAAAAATGGTAAGCTGTTTTGAGTTTTCGATATTGTATTGTATTGTATTGTATTGTATTGAACAATCATGAGCGATTCCACATTCTGAACGTGCGTGGCGATTACTGCTCAGAATCCGTATCCGCGGCTACTAATCTAAACATTCACAGCATTCACACATTCACTCACGTCAAAGCACGGAGGCAGAGACACTTTCGTAGTACCCCAG